CCCCCCGCCTTGCAGGCACCCTCCGTGGCCGGCTCAGCTGCAGACAGCTCTCCTCCCCCTGCGGGGCCATCACCGGCCGAGGCAAACATCTCCTCAGCAGAGCCACTGAGCAGAAGACCACATTGGTTTTCTGGCAGAGCGCCTGGATTTGGGAGGGAGGGGGTCATCCAGACCTCCAGCTGTTGCAGGCCTGCAGGGCTCTGTAAGGGTGAGGGGCTTCGTGCCATCTTTCATGGAAGTAAAATCTGCGTTACAAGAAAAAAAGTAGGAAAATAATCCTTAGATTGGCATTGGGAGGGGAGCAGAGGCAGAGGGTCCTTCTATAAAGCCCCTTTTGGGGTGTGCAAAGACCCCTCACCCTGCCCTGAACATCACTGCTGCTTGTTGAGTCCCCAGATTCTTCCTGTGGGGGCCTGAGATTTCCTCTTACTTCTTGATTTAAATCTTTTTTGATCAAAAGAGCTTTTATTTTCCAGTGACTGCTGTGGAAGCCAAGCCAGCCAGCCCTTCCCAGTGCTGTTTTATGGGGTCACAGCAAAGATCTTGGCTCCAGCATAGATCAGGCTCTGGGGAAAAGCAGCACTGAAAGAAACTCTTAAGAACATAAAACTATAAAAATTTGGTCAGAGCGGAAGGCACGTTCTTGGTTCTCTGGGGACTTAGGGGCCTGCCTGTATATATGGATTGAGATATGAGCTGCTCTGGGTAGTCTTGGGGGGATTCACCTCCCATGGAAGGCTTTGCTGTGTCTCCCATGGGGGATGTCCACTTCCCAGAGCTCCCAGCAGGGATGGGAAGGCTGCGTCCTGGCACTGCTGGTCCAGCAGCAGCTCCTCCAGCCCCAGCTGCACTGGCACTCACACAGCAAAGCATCCTGTGCTGGGACAACCCCCTCTCCACATTGCCAAGGCAGCATCCCTTTGCAAGCTGAAGCTGTTTGGCAAAACCCATGGTGCGGATGCCCGGGATGGTGGGTCTGGGGCAGCAGGCTGCTGAGTTTGGGATGGAGACATCCCTGCAAAGCAGCACAGCTTATCCTGCTGGAAGGGGCCCTGGGCTTGGCTGGTGTGTGGAGAGCTCTGGTGGGCATGAGGTGGGGTGGGACTGCACTGAACTGGGACTCTGGGCTCTTTCCTGGATGCTCATGTCAGACTGCTCACACCCAACGGCTCACTTGGCTGCTGGCAGGCCCTGTGCCTTGGGAGGTGACTTTGGGGTCAGGCAGATGATGGGGCTGCTCTCCTGCCTGTGGGAACGAGGGTGGTGCAGGATGGGGGGCAGACCTGTCAAGACCCAGCAGCTCTGTTGCTTTACAGGCAATCACACCTGCAGCTGTAGCTGTAGTGCAGCTACCCGAGGTGCAGCTTGCCAGGCTGCCCTTCCTCTTCTTCGGTGAGAGGTTAATAACTCGTTGGGAGCTGGGTGATGCTGCCTTGCCATGAGGTCTGATGGATGGTGCCCTTCCTCCTGTGTAGCTCCCACCCTGGGCGTGCAAACCCTGCCCAGCACGTGTGTCCATCGTGCTTGGGGATGCTAGAGCTGATGGGGCTGACGGGGTGCTGGGATGCTCTGGTTGATGGGTGCTGGGACACTCTGGTGCCCAGGGCACAGGGATGGATGCCCCAGTGCTCAGGTGCTTTGGTTGATGGGCTGTGCTGCTGGGGTTCTTCTTCTTCCCTTGCAGCACCTGGGATGCCAGCACCATCCCCACCTATGAAGAAGCCCTGACCTGCAGACCTGCTCACGTCGCCCCAGCCTACATCCAGCCCCCGGGGAGGAAGGAGGAGCTCACCCCCCCCCTGTACCACTACCTGGAGGAGGATGAGGGCTGGCAGGGCGGCCGGCGCCGCAGCTCCTCCGACAGCGCCTTGTTCCGCCCCAGCCCCTCCTGGCTGGAAACCCAGCCCCCCGGGGAGCCGCGGGGGACGCCTCCCCCCAGCTACGACAACATCAGCGCACTTTTTCTGAGCGGGCAGCTGCCCAGCCCCTCAGCTTCCAGCCGAGCCCCTTCCTTTGCTGGGGTGAGAGGAGGGTGGGCGAGGAGGGGGAAGGGTCCTCCCGGCTGCCTGAGCGCCCAGCCTGGGACTGGCAGACTGTGGGTGCCGTGGGCGATACGTTCGGTGCGTCGGGGGCAACTGGCATGTTGGAAAGCCTCCGTGTTTTGAATAAAACCACTGCTGGCTGCAGGTGCTTTGCATTCCCTGCTCTGACACACCGGAGAGCTCACATCGAGCAAGAGCTGTATAATAAAAACTACAGCAAAGAATGAGGAATGTGGCCAGAGAAAAACCAGCTCCATGCTGCTCTGTTCACTCCCCTGCCTTCTCAATGCCCCTTCCAGCTGCAGCTCCATCCCTTCCACCTTGCTTTCCCCCGTGCTGACTTCCCATGCCTCGCTTCATTTGGTCTGGAGATGTTCAGTGGCTCGGGCATGTGTTCAGGGCATCCAAGTGCACTTGGCATTTCAAGCAGCATCCTATATAAAGACACCCTGGGTGGCACAGCCCCCTCCCTGCCCACCGTGGCCCAGTTTGCAGCCCCGTTTGGGGGCTGCTGCTGCTGGTTTCTCCATCCCACCGAACGAACAGGCTGCCCTGGGCCCCCGAGGGGCTGCGGAGCCACAGCCAAATCTAACGTGTCATTTCTAACAGAGTATTTTCCATAAGCCAGGCACATGGGCAAACCCATTGATGGTTGCCCAGCACCCATCCAGAGCAAGGTGGGGGCTACTCCCGACCCACTGATCTCCGAAAAGACCCCAAGTGCATTCCCTCTCCCTCTGCTGCAGCCCTTGAGAACCTGCCGTGCCCTGGTGTCTCCCTTGTTTTGGGGTTCTGCCAACTCCAACTTGCAGCCAAGTCTAGCTCCAGCCCCCGAGGCTGGGAAAGTCCCTTTGGGGCCAGGAGCTTTCCTGGTCCCCGTCCCTGGCACCGTGGCCCCTTCTCCCCTCCCTGTCCCCCCCCGGGGGGGGTCCAGCCGAGCGTGCCCGCAGGGAAGGTTACCCGGCCACGTGCCGGGCGGCTCCACTGGAGTGTGAACACTGGGTCGGTGTTTGCATTCATTACAAACCCGTTAAAAACTGGTTGGCTCAGCCCTGGGCAGGACCAGGCTCGACGTGCAGCTGATCCTCAGCCCCTGGCAGCCTCTGGAGGAGGAACCACTCCTTGTCTTCCCCTGGAGGTGTGCTCAGCAGGCAGCAGCCGTGGGTAAAAGGGCTTCCTGGCATCTCTCCTCCCCTGCCTCTCCCACCTGGTGCCCATGGCTGAGGAGAAGAGCTTTCGTTATGGGTTCATCATGCTGGGTTTCTTCCTGGTGATGACGGGCATGTTCATCATGAGCGTGGAAAAACCCCAGATCTACATCACCTTCTGTGCCCTGGGCGTCCTGCTTGTAGCCGTGGGCATCACCTGGAGCATGTGCCAGTGCTACCCGAAGGTAGGGTCTGTCCCACCGCCGTGCACCTCAGGGGGCTTGAGGGCTCTGTTGGGTTTGGGGGGCTTCTGCTGCTGTGGATGTGGAACCTCGGGCTGTGCCTTGGTTCCCCCCAGCGTGGGGTGGGGTAGAGGCAGGTTCTGGGGAAAAGCTGGCAGGGGATGGAGGAGAAAGTGTTGGTTTGGGAAGCTCGTAGCCTGCTACAACCCTGTGCTGCTGCCTGCAGGAGGTGGCCCCACTGCCTCACCCCTGTACCCCTGCACCTCCCCGAGCCCGGGGCGTTGCTTCCAAGTGGGCAGCAGGGAACGAGACCAAGGAAATCAGCTCATCTTCATCTCTCCCACGCAACCCCCTCCCAAACCAGCCCCTCCCCTGCACTCATGGGGGCTGGGGGCTCAGCAAGCTCCCAGGACCTGAAAGAAGGGGGTGTCGTGGCCATGTAGGTCCAGAGGGGCCAGGGTCCCCCAGGCACAGCCCTCCCCTGCCGGTCTCCTTGTGGAGGTCACTGCCCTGGGAAAGGCAGCTGGCAGGAAAGGCTTTTTCTTCCAAGGAAAGGGCAGCCCTGGTGCTGGTCTGGACGCTGCAGGGTGGCCCAGCAACAGCTCGGCTGCCCTGCAAAATGTGGGGTGGTGCATGGGACCCCAGGACCTGGGACCAGCTGGGAGCCCCGGGACTGCCTGGGTCCCCTGGGACCGGGGTGAAGCTGCCCCAGCTCCCCCCAAAGCTGAGCTCAGCCCTGGCTAGGAGGGAGATGTGGCTTTGTCACTGTGCTTGAGGCTCAAGGACAGGGCACCCTTGGTGCCTTTGCTGGCCACCAAACTTCCTCGTGGGCCCCGAGACTCCCTCTGGGCTCAGGGACATGCATGACCCCACCGGGGACAAGGTGCTGATGCCGAGTTCATTCAGCCCTTTATTTATTTCTCCCAAAGAAACCCGTTTCCAAGCAAAACCATCCAAAAGTGCTGGGAAAAGACCAAAACCCCAGCTGGAGGAACGCTGCGGCCTGTTTAGCACTACGGAGGGGTGAGGGTCCCCCTGAGGCCCAGTGCAGCCCCAGGCTCTGTCGTTCTTCTCCCCCAGATAACGTTTGTCCCCGTGGACCCCGAGGCTGAGCAGTTCCTGGACCACAAACCTGTCGTGCTGATGGAGAGGGACACCTGGTAGGTGAAAAAGGTAGAAAGAAAGGTAGAAAGGTAGAAAGGTAGAAAGGTAGAAAGGTAGAAAGGTAGAAAGAAAGAAAGAAAGAAAGAAAGAAAGAAAGAAAGAAAGAAAGAAAGAAAGAAAGAAAGAAAGAAAGAAAGAAAGAAAGAAAGAAAGAAAGAAAGAAAGAAAGAAAGAAAGAAAGAAAGAAAGAAAGAAAGAAAGAAAGAAAGAAAGAAAGAAAGAAAGAAAGAAAGAAAGAAAGAAAGAAAGAAAGAAAGAAAGAAAGAAAGAAAGAAAGAAAGAAAGAAAGAAAGAAAGAAAGAAAGAAAGAAAGAAAGAAAGAAAGAAAGAAAGAAAGAAAGAAAGAAAGAAAGAAAGAAAGAAAGAAAGAAAGAAAGAAAGAAAGAAAGAAAGAAAGAAAGAAAGAAAGAAAGAAAGAAAGAAAGAAAGAAAGAAAGAAAGAAAGAAAGAAAGAAAGAAAGAAAGAAAGAAAGAAAGAAAGAAAGAAAGAAAGAAAGAAAGAAAGAAAGAAAGAAAGAAAGAAAGAAAGAAAGAAAGAAAGAAAGAAAGAAAGAAAGAAAGAAAGAAAGAAAGAAAGAAAGAAAGAAAGAAAGAAAGAAAGAAAGAAAGAAAGAAAGAAAGAAAGAAAGAAAGAAAGAAAGAAAGAAAAAGGAAGGCTGGAAGGAGGTAGTTTTCCTTTCAGGGGATGTTTTCAGCTGCACCCTTGGTTACCTGTGTGCCCCAGGGTGCAGGCAGTGGCTGAGCACACCGGTCCAACCACCCCTCCTGCAGCACAGAGCGGCAAGCAGGGGCTGGGGTGGGGGAGGCAAGGGCTGGCTGAGCCCCCCGGGCTGGAGGGTGCGCAGCCTCCAGCCGCATTCCTCGAGGGCACCCCCTTGCAAGGACCACCCAGCTCTGGTGCTGGCACGGGCAGGTGACACTACAGCAGGCTCTGGAGTCCTGCACCGTGCTCCTGAGCATCTCCTGGCTCCGTGGGGACCCGAGTGCTGCTCAGCACCCTGCTCCTCCTTCCCCCCCAGCTTGCAGGCGCCCTGCCCCAGCCGAGAGGCCACCAGCGCCTACGAGAAGAGCCTGCCGTCCTTCGAGCAGCTCCCGAGGGGCTCGGCACCG